TCCTCTCCTCGTCCTTGGGTAATTGTCCCTGTCTTCCTAAAACCTAAGGACCTCAGCTCCCATCCTCTGGTCCCTTTTATCTTTTCTTCCCCTTTCCCTATGTGTTGACTGTTCCTCTCTGAAAGTCACCTGAGGGATTTATTGACAACTCCTGGTGCTTAAATACCCGGATGCCAGCGTTTGGCAAACCAGGAGTGATCAAAGTTCCTGAAAGGTACAGGGACAAGTGACATGTTTACCTGTGTGTAGGTTCCTTGATTTTTTGAGGGTGATCCAAGCTCAGCTGGCCTTGTTTTTCCTTTGCATAAAGCTTGTCCTTCCACACCCTGCCACCATTTCCAATCCCTTGCTACCACTGCATGTTGTAAGCAGAAGTCTTGCTGGGTGAGGGTGGGGAGATCAAGGTAAGCTGCCCCCCCGCCGCCCCCACAACCCCAGTTAAGGAACCACACCTAGGAAGAGCAAGATGTGGGAAGAGCACTAGCCTCAGAAGCCAGACCAAGCCACTACCTGGCCTTGGGCTCTCAATCTCTAAAGTGAGGGGGGCTGGACTGGATGATGCAGCTAACCACCCCCACCTCCTTCAGGCTAAGGTCAAAATGCTAAATTAGGCCTGAACTCATTTATGACCTCCCAGTCTCCCCCACCCTTGCTCCGGCTTCTCTTCTGGCAGATGTGTTTTTATTTGAAAAGCTTGTTCTCCCAAGTATAATTCCATTGCCTCTTTTCCATCAGCAATTCAAAACCTTCCTCTCATATTTCTCTGCCTGCTCTCTCCAAGTGCCACGAATGTGCTCTTGGATCTCTATCCCAGATCTGTTCTGAGGGTTTAGGGGGATGGGACTGAACTCTGACCCTTTTCCCCTTGGCCAAGCCCGATATTGCAAAATATTTAATACACAAACACACATGAAACAATCCTGCATGGAAAACTCTGGTCCAAACTTTCCTTCATTCGGCATAACACAGAGCATTTCAGTGGCTTGCCACTCTATGATTCTCCAGAGCTGGCCCAGCTCCAGATGGGAGAATTCCAGCTCAGAATGCCAGAGAGAAGTTTGCTGTCCCAGCTCCTGAGGTCTGGGTCATCTCCAGCACCACCATATTAAGACTACAGTTGACTCGCCACTCCATTCCTCCCCCATCCACTGCAGACTTGCTGCCTAAGCAAGGATCCGTGAGGCCTCTGTCAGCCAGCCCTGGCTTTTTTTTTTTTTTTTTAAAGAAAAGCTCCCAGTTCTTTGAGTCTTTAGATAGTTGGCTCCCCAAGTTGGAGGTGATGTCCAAGGCTTCAAATTCAGCTTTATTCAAGTCTGCTATAATGGGGATAATTTACTTTTTTTCCCCCTGTGGTTTCAGCTTAAAGTTTGCTAATAAACTAAATTCTTCCTCTGAAGAACTCACTTTCTATATTCCTTGGCAGACCCATCCCAAAATGTCTGTTATTGTGCACTTCACTATCAAAAAGCAATGAGACCAGGAGAGAGAGGATGTACTAATGAAGCAAACACCAGTGCTTTCTATTTAATCTCTTAACAATATGCCAAGAGAGGCATTCTTTCCCCCATATTACAGATGAACTTGAGGCTCTAAGCAGTTATACACGTGCCAGAGGTCTTGGCTCACTGACTGGTTCTAGTAGGCACTACGGAGGTATCCTGAGAACTCATCCAGACAGCCCATGAAATGGAAATTGGATTTTAGAGTTGAGAGGGACCTTCGTATTTCAGTTTCCAAGAATTTGAGTAATTTGCCCAAGACTTATGTAGCTACTCCACTGAAGAACCAATATAGAATTCACTTTTGCTAGTGCATTGCCATTTCTAGCCCACTCACAGGTCTTTCTTAGGAGGAAAAAAAAAGAAGTTAGTCTTAAAAATTTAAGGTAGGGTCTTGGAGAGACTAGAAATGTTAGAAAACATTGACTCTGGGCCCTGGCTATGTATCTAAGTTGGTCACAACATCAGGATATGCCAAGGTTGCCAGTTCGATTCCCAGTCAGGACACATACAAGAATCAACCAATGAATGCATAAATAAGTGGGACAACCAATCGACCCCCCTCTCTAAAATCAATAAATAAAAGAGACAACTGTAACTGAGCAATTAAAAAATTAAGAATATAAAAAACATTGACTGAGATATGGAGAATGTAAATAAAAATCGTGGTGGGGTAGGCCCAAAAGAGCATCACTAACCCATCTTCAAAGTCAAGTTGGGGGATGTTTGTTTCCCTATGAAAGCCTGTGCCAATCACCAACGAGGACACACTCACCTGTTCTAGGTATCTATTTAAGTGTGCCGGTGTCCAGGTGATTATATGATCATTACTTGATGGAATTTATACATTCAAGAAAAGCAAATTTCTCCCAAATGAATCTGCATTTTTATTGATGTCCATTACTGTAAATTAAAGGTTTTACTTGGGGACTTTGGAGGGTGTTGATGACCAAGTGTTTCAGATGCCAGTTCATGCCACGTTCAGTGCCAGTTCTGTGGATCTGGAAAGCTGTTTAACCCACCTAACATTTAATTTCTTCCACTGTGGTCTTCCTAATCGCCTTCCCTTCAAATATCTTCCCTCCCAGCTTCCCTAGACCACAAAAACATCTCTCATGCCTAAGGATCCTGGGTTGGCACCCAGATTTCTCAGTGTTTTATTGACTTTCTCTGGCGTTGGTGGAGTTACTAAGAAAGCCACATAGCGCGAGACTTGTAAGCTAGCGTTCTGCCCTCTTTAGCTGAAATATTCCATTAGCTCATGGCTCAGGGCTCCAGAAAGAAGTCATTTCCCAACTTCAGTAATTTGAAATGCTAGATATCTCTTTTCCTTATGGCGTGACTGTCTCCTAGATAAGCACTGCAGGACCCTTACGCACAGCTCGAGTGAAACCTGTTGAGTGAAGAAAATTGAGCAACTCCTGCTTGCTCCTGGCCACATCAGTGTTGGCCCAGTGAAGTTTCTCTTTGTCTCTAAACCTCCGTTTTCAGAAGCATTTTACCACCTTTGTACTAACGGCCAAATGCAATTAGGGTACAAATAGCTCACATTTTCTTTTCATACACTTTTCTTCTGTTCCAAGTGGAAAGCACTGTTCTTTACAGAAATTCAAAATTACCTCCAAGCCACTTGAATTTGTTATTTCACTCCAGGATGAGTACTCAAGGACAAATGAGCACTTAAGACTGAAATATCCCTCCTTGGAGAACCACACACCTTGCCCAAAGCCATTGTCCCGCTGCTGTGGGCAAGTCTGGACTCACCGAGCCTTACTTCACCTGAGTGTTTCAACCCTGGCACAATGTCTTGCGCAGGTCATAAGGTAAGGACGGCCTTTCTTTTGGAAGGTCTATTTTCCTCACAAGAGTCTTGGTTGGTAAGAATTTCTCAGTAAACCAAAGGGGGCAGCTTTACAGGTAGGATATATAAAGTTTTGGATTGTTTTAAGAAAAGAAGTTTTCAGTGCATGCCTGAGACAGGGCAGGAAAAGTAATCTGATATTTGGAAACATCAGAAAACAAATCATTTCCTTGGGGGCTGTTTTGTCTTATTGCTTCACTGCCTCACTCCCTCAGTTCCAACTAATAAAAGGGTCAATTCCAGGATCTCGCTATCCTGACACCACTTAAGCCTGGAAAAAGAGACCAACAAGACACCTCTCCCAACCCTACATTTTGTTGTCCAGATGTGAAATTTTGTCCCAATTCCAAAAGTGACAGTGACCACTGGCATGGATGTGGGGTACCAGTTTTTCTTTTGGTCTTCAGTGTAGCTTTGAATCAAGTTTCCAACTAGGCAAGAATTAAAGCAGGAAAGAAATGAAGGAGGAGAGGTGTCTAAGCAACCAAGTCTTCCCTGGAAGAGAAGAGGAGGCCGTGAGAAGTGAATAATAGGTTTATTTGCATATACACAGGAGAGTTAGCATTGCTGGGTGGGCTTGTGAGGAGGTAAGGCTTCAGCAGAGGAAGGCACCTTGACAAACAAGGGACTCCCGGCTTAGTAAATCAAGCACAGTAGCAACCTTCCTTTGCCCCAAGCCAACTACTCATTTAACTCATTTACCTGCTGTCCTAGAGACGCAGGAATCACTTACAAAACCAGGTGGAAAATAAAGTGAAGAGAAATGCTTTTTTAGATCTGGACCAGCCACTTAAAATCTTATTGTACAGGATGCAGAAAAAAACATAATAGGCGCTTTTGAGCAGCTATTAATCTAATCAGTGCCATCATCCTGCTAGTAAAATACCTATCATAGAAGAATCTGGGGATTAAATGTGCCTCCAAAATTGGAATATCGGTTCTATACGGGTTAGACAAAGGGACCCTGGAAGTGGTTCCTGCCAGGTTTCCAGGACCACAGTCACAGACAGGAGACTTCTGGAAATGAGAGGGGAGTGGCTACAGAGACAAGCATTTCCCAGACTGCTCCTGTGGGGCCTATTTCCTGGCAAGCTGAACCTGGGTGCTGGAAAGAGTCTCTCCCAAAGATGAAAGGCATCCTTACTAAAAAGCAATCTTTCTTGGACATTAAAGTTGAACCAGAATGAATTTTTGACTTCTCTTTTGAGTATCCAAATGACATTAGGCTTTTAACACAAAAAAGACCAAGTTCTACATTTGGGAGCGGTAACTACCAAGTGACTAGCTCACAAGAGAACTTTTAACTATTTCTTTATTCTTCAGGAATATATGTGGATTAACCTTAGAGAAGTCAGGAAAAGATACCTACTGATAAAATAAAACAAAAAGACTGGGTATGCTGACTAGGAAGGGGAAGAGAAACACACACTGAATGATTGTATTTTTTTTTTTTTTTTGTATATAAAGGATTAAAAAATTCCAATTTAATAAATTTTGGAAAAGCAAATGTAAAATGACTTGGGCTTATAAAACCAGAATTTACAATAATCTGTGAATAGTCAAAAACAAATCATAAAACCATTTTGATTACAAATCCAAATAATTCTAATGGTTACAGAATCACTTTTCCCACTTCCCCAGTGAGATTACAGTTGTTAAATTGTAAGCATCTCCACTGCTACTCACACTCCTTTATCTCTTTCTCCTAAGACAGTGTTTTCACACCCAAGTCACATCACACATACCAGGCACAACGTTCCTTTCACAAAGCTTAGCAAGATGATATCCCCTTTTGGCTTAGATCAACAACCTTCTTTTATAAATAACCTCTCTTCTCCCAGTGCCTAAATCCATCCAAGTCTTCATTCTCCACAGGCTGTCTCCCCTTGGTCCCAGTTCCAGTAGGACAGGCCCTCTTCTAAAAGGGTCGGCGAGGCCATACCAGTCACGCAATGGGTCCTCCCTCCACCAATGCCATCTGGGCTCCTAACTGTCTAGCACCTTTGCGCCCAACAAAGTTACAGTGTTCTCCTCTCTTCCTCATTTCTTGCCAGTATTCTCTTGCCTTTTCATGACATCTATGACAACAAGATATCTGGTCATTCCTAGATCTTCCTGTCTTGCACAGCCCTTCATTGACAACCAAGTGACTAACGATCACTGCGATGCTGTGAATCTCTCGGTCCGTTCCCCTTCTCAATCTTTATCTACCTCAATGAAATGGAGTCTCTTCCAGGAGCCAGGAATCTTAAAACCACTGACTCCTCTTTCCACATGTTCTGGCTCCTGACAGACCTACTCAGTAAGAGCCTGTTACTTCAAGATGCCCACTGTTCTGCAAGATCTGGTCAGAACACCACAGCCTGTCAATTGCAAGCCTGAGGGAAGATGCCAGGCCCATCAATTCTCACCACTCATTTTGGGTTGAATTAAATACAGTACCATACTCTGCTCTTTTACTATACCTCTTCACACACATATAACATCCACTTTAGTAGTTTGAGCACAGAGCTCTTGAGAGCTGTCTTTTCCCCTTCTTTCAATATGCTTATATGCTTAGACGCCATTACATGGGGCCAGGGAAGCACATGCAGGCCTTCTGAGCACCTCTTAGAACTAAGTATCTAACTGGTTAAAGTGTTACCCACAACTAGTTATATTTTATGGCCTCCATACAGTGTTGCAGCATTGTTCAATTTGCAGTCAGTGAAATTTATCAGGGATCTATGTTCTCTTGAATCTGATCTTAAGTGCTAACCTCTCATCAGCATTAAAAATGCTCCGCTTTTAGTATGTCTACGTTAAATGCTCAATGTAGAAGTGCTACTGAGAGAAAACATGGAAGATTTCTTTAAGAAAGGAACCATGCTTTCCTTTCCGGCACAGCCAATTAGCTGAAGGCCTGTTTCCATTCTCCTCTCCAGTCTTTCAGCGTTAAGTCCACTACTCACTGGCAGCACAACCTGATTTAGCAGGTACTCATTATTATGACCAGAACACCTACAGCATGTAAACAAGGTGAGATGGCAAAAAATACAGATCCATAGATCCTTTTCTGATGGAGAATTGAAGGAAAAGTCTGAAACAATGAGCTCACGTGTGCCAGTGCACACACACAAGAACAAGTCAAATGTCTCAACAAGGGTTTACTGTAAGAGAATCTGCACAGGTAGCCTATGCTTACGTTTTACTAGAAAGGAGTCACTTGGGTTCTTTCCCTTTCTTAACACACCACAAGCCAATGGCCAACTAAACATCAGACCCATTGTTGAATAGAAGGGAGCAGCATCAGACACAAAATTCAGGCCCTGGTTTTATGTGCCTTTAATACTTTTTTTTTCCTTTCCTCTGTGTTCACTAAACAGGATTAAAAAAATTTTTTTTGTAAAGCTCCTTTTTGTAGCTTTTTGTTTTCCCTTTGTATTTATCATGTTTTTAATTTCTTCTCTGAGGAGGAATTCTCCGAATCTGCATCTTCCAATTCGACTCGGTGCCTTTTGAGGCCACTATGGCCATGAACAGCCCTGCTGCTGTCTATGCCTGGAGGGTCAGTGGGGTCCTCTCTCGTTCCAGCACTGGGGGTCTCACAGGCCATTTCAGACCCACAACAATCTTTGTGTAGGAGTGTCCCTGTCAGGGACAAGTTATGGTCAGTGTCTGAATGTCCTGGGGAAGAGCAGGCCACTGTTTCCAGCTCCCCGAAGTTCTGTCCATTGTTGTGGAGGTGAGGGGGGCGGGGGTGTAAGCGTCCATTGTTGTGGTTAGCACAGATGGTTTCAAGACTCCTCTCTTCACTGTCATCAGACTGGGTCCTGGCACAGTTGCCAGTCTCACTGTTGAAAGTGGAGCCAGATGCCTTGGGGACAGGAGGAGAGGGCGGCTCCTCAGCCCGGCTGCTCAGGGCCTTGCTCAGGGCCTTTCCATTGAGCTTCTTGGTTTCAAAAGAGTGTTCTATAGAGCCACCATTGTTAGTGTCCTGAGAGGTGTCCTCTGGTGCCTCTGCCCAAGAGTGGCTGCTGGGCTCATGGCCTGGGGCTATGCTGGGGTTTCTAGCAGAAGTCCCTTCTTTTAAAGCATCCTTGCTCTGGCCTTCAGGGGGCAGGTCCTGGTTCCTCTGGGCCACTGTGGTGTTTATACAGGCTTCCTTACTGGAGGAAGGGGCTGGGTTGTCCTTATGGCTGGTTCCTGCTCTCCCTTCATCTGCTTCCCCAGATACCAGGGAGCTCTCTCCATCTTTGTTTGAGTAGGAGATGTAGGAGTAGCGGAGCCACTTGTAAGCTTTATAAATCTTTCGCTCAACTGACTCTATGTCCGAAGTTGGTGATCCCCGGCTTGGCTGAATCTCCAGAGCGGAAGTGCTCCGCTCAGGGGAGGAAGTGGGGGAGGAAGAGAGGTCATCCACTTTGATCTGGGGATAATCATAGTTGTCTTCGCCAATGTAGGTGTTGGAGGGCTTGGGCGGGGCGCTGGGCCTCTCTTCTCGGGGCATCTTTTGTCGGCGCCGCATGGCATTCCGCTGCCGGGTGGATGCTCGGCGTTCATTCAGTTCCTCCTCGTCCTCGGAGCTACTGGAGCTGCTAGAGCTGCTGGACTCATCTTCAGGGCTGGGAGAGCGTGGACGAGGGAAGAGATCCGTGTCCAATTCAACCTCACAGGCATTTTCTTCAGAATCAGACTCGTTGGAAAGCGCCAGGAGGCGTTTATCCTGGTAGCGCCGCAGAGCTGACAGGCGCTGCTGGCGAGAAGCAGCATCCTCGCACGTGGGCGGTGGCGGAGTTGCTGCCACAGCGTTTGTGGTGGTGACCCGCAGGGGCCCCAGGTGGAAGGCGCTGTCGGCAGACTCATCCACTGTAGGAGGAGGGGAGCGGGGCAGTGAGGCCGAGGACTCGGAATCGGTATAACCCGAGCGCTCGCTGACCCCTGCGTGCAGCTGGAGGATAGTGCTCTCACTCAGGTCGCTGTCCGAGTCAGAGCTCCAGCCCTCAATCTCACGGCGCACCAGAGAGTCAAAGAAGGCCATCATCCGGGGATCCTCCTGTACAGACTGGTTGGCGTAGTCATGCGACAGGCCACTCCCACTGTTCAGCACAAGGCTGATGTACTCTTCGTGGGTATACAGGCAGCGGGAATCATCCTCAATCCGGCCGTCCAGGTCTCCGGTACATCCTGGCTGCTTGTACGGGCTCCAGATCTGCAGAAAATAACAACAAAACCAACGAGGGCTGATTGGAAAGTACTGGAAAGCTGGTGGGTTTAAAGAACACCAAGGCAGAACTACCCTAGACTCTTCCTGTCATTTAGCCAGGACTTGCCAACCAAATTTAAAAATACATTCTTAATCAGACTGGATTATGTTGGGCACATATGAAAACCAAGGCTGCTAAAGCCAGATGTGAAAAAACAACATGGTTTAGGACACAACATTAATCAGGAGACCTAAGTCCTTCTCTAGGCCCAGGATAATTTCACACCATCTCCCCCACAATTCACCCACCCTTTTAACTTCCTCTGTTAGTAGTATGAAAATTACAATAATCTCCTTCATAATCTCAGAGGACACAGGAGGATTTAAAGATTAATCAATGTGTTCAAAACTCTCAGGAGACTGAAGCGGTGCACAGAGAGGCACCACTTGGCCAAAGTAAAAGCAGACCCAGCAGTTAGTCCTCTGCAACAGTTAGTATTTCAGCCTGTAACTCCACTTCTCTCCAACTGCATGATTTCTATTTTTAACTAATGGGAATTGCTTACTGGAGCTTGATGAGAATAGCCAACTGCCTACACTGCAGTTTCCTCCTGGACATGCAGGCATCAGTTACCCAGGAAACTGGTTTCTCTTAACCAGGGAGCTGCTGGCTTGCTCTCTAGCTCTTCTATTACCATGGGAAGAGGTAGGATATCCCTCTCCAAGACCGCAGCTCCATCCCTTAAGATCCCTCCATTCCACGGTCAGACACACGGGCTCCTAGCCAAAACGTGGCTGAACTAGGATTCAAACTCAGGTCTGTCTGAATGCAAAGGCCCAACTTTACAAGTTGAATAGATTATACAAAAACCAAGAACGAGGTAATTAAACTGTCACTGCAAATGAGTATGATTAGCTTCACCTGACTGCCAGACTGGTCCACAGAGCAGCACAAAGGAGCTTGGTTATAAATCAGCAGGTAGCCATGGCAACTCAGATGAAATTCCAGGCAATTTTCTTGGCTGACAGGCTGGTGTCTATCTTTAGATGACACCCAATCCAGAAAACAGTGGCTGCTCATTCCCCATTCTCTATCAAGATAATGGCTTCATTTCCCCAAAGCCAGCCAAGGACAAATTCACTTCCATGAATTTACTGAAGCCTGTTCTCTCCATGCTTTACCTCAACTCCTGGTTGGCAGCACCTCTTTGGAGGATCCCAGTTCAAGAGGGGCTAAGTAACCTAGGTTAGCTCTCTACCAGTTCCCAACTCAGATTCATTTCTCCCTTCAACCTTCTTCCCTGCCCACAACTCCTCAGCTGTCCTCCCCTCTCCAGCTTCATAATCTCACCCAGGGGAGTTTTACTGCAGCGGTTCTCAAACTTTGAAGTACATAAGAGCCACCTGAAGAATACTGACGATGTTGACTCTGAGCCCCATCCACCCTTAAAGATTCTGATTCAACAAGTCATGGGTAGGCATTAGGGTGCTGCATTTTTAACAAGCACTCAAGGAATGAGTAAGTGGGGACACCAACTTTTAAGAAACACTGGAATATAGTTAGTAGAAAATTAGTAGCAGGAAATAACAGATTTGTTGAGAGATTCTCAAATTCTTTGTGAGAGTCTAAGTTTGAAAATTTTTTTATTTTTTTTATTTTACTTATTTCCTAGAAAGAGGGGAAGGGAGGAGAGAGGGAAACATCGACATGTGAGAGAAACACCGATTAGTTGCCTCGAGATGCCCCCAACTGGGGACCTGGCCCACAACCCAGGTAGGTGCCCTGACTGGGAATCGAACTCTCCCTTCACAGGCTGGCGCTCAGTCCACTGAGTCATACCACCCAGGGCTGTTTCAGAAACTTTATTTAAACATGGTCTTCAGCAACAAGCTCAAGCTATAAATGACTATCTCTGAAAACAGCTGTCCAAGGGAATAGAAGTTTGGTGGCTTAGAACAGAAAATGAGGGATCCTAAAAGCAAAGCACTTAGGATGTTTTGTGGCCTTAGTCTACTCTGGGTCAAATCTCTCACTTCTCCGGTTTAAAAATGATAAAATGTTACTAACCATGTAGTCTAACATGAGGCTAAATCTACATGTACTTCACAGTAACTCAGAATTTGTTAACTGAAGTACAAAATATTAATGGCAAGATGCTGGTCTAACTATCCAACAAAGATTCTAAACTACTACCAAGGGCCATATGTTTTCACTTCCAGAATGAAAACCATAGCACTGAAAGCCAGCTTTTATTCTGACTCTGGAATAGATTAAGCTGAGGTGGGCTTTCATTCCTAAAGCTTGGCATAATGGACCAAAATGGTGGATCAGGAGGCAGGAGACTTGAGGGTGGGTTCCCACTCAGCTCCTAGTAAGCTGATGACCTTGGGTGAAGCTCAGCTCCCTCATCTAAGCAATGAATAAATGAGTGTTCTCCAATCCTAAGATTCTGAGCAAAACAAAACCCCCATCATACAGAGCCAGTCTTCTAGCCTGAAGAGACTTGCAACACAAAGCTACGGGAGCAGGTAGAACAGAAAGAACTCCAACCCCACCACTTCACATGGCCCTGGGCCAATGACTTCACCCTTGAAACTCTCTTTTCTCATCAGTAATGAAAATCATTTCCACAGTCTATACCAAAGCACCAATAAATGTGGTGCTTCTCTCTCATTTAGCAGCTGAATACCTCAACTAGAAAGTTTAGACCCATCTTCAAAGAGACTTTTGAACACTGGAAGTACTGATGGTCCCTTTTATTTCGGTCCTCCCTCATCCGTAAAATACCACTTTCAAGCATTTGCGAAGTTCCTTTTTTTAATTTAGGATTTTATTTATTTATTTTTAGAGAGAGGAGAAGGGAGAGCAAAAGAGAGGGAGAGAAATATTGATGTATATGCAAGAGATACATCGATCAGTTGCCTCTTGTACGCCCCCAGCTGGGGACCTGGCCCCCAACCCAGGCATGTGCCCTGACTGGGAATTGAACAGGTGACCTTTAGGTTGCAGGCCAGCGCTCAGTCCATTAAGTCACACCAGCGCAAACTGTTTATTTCTTTACAGGGAAGCAGTGAAAATAAAACTTCCTGTGGCATGTTAAGTATTAATGGCTAGACATGCCTCCTTATAGGGGCAAGGTTCATGAGAAAAGAAAGAGGGGTGAGTAGCTTTCTTTTCAAGTCCAGTGAAAAATTCAGCTCCCAAGGCTGCTGAGGAAAAGGATACAGTTCAATTCTAATCCAAACGTGATCAGAATGGAAAGCAATTAAGGAACAAGTGTTCTGATCTACACAGGTGATCATGGCATGCTTGCAGTAGCAGGCCTTAAGCCCCTCTTTTCTCTTTGGACTATTATATTGGGTTGGCCAAAAAGTTCGTTTGGTTTTTTCCCTAAGATGGCTCCAGTAGCGCTTAGTTGTCTTTACTTTATTTGATACAATTTTGTTAGATTGTATTGTGACAGCTGTCATATCAGCATGCATTAAAAAAAAAAAACAACTTATCAAAACTGGTGAATTTTTGTGTAGCCATTTTAATACTGAAGATGGAAGAAAATAAGTGATATTTTTGGCATGTTATGCTTTATTGTTTCAAGAAAGGTATAAAATGCAACTGAAACACACACACACGATTTGTACAGTGTATGGAGAAGGTGCTGTGACTGATCAAATGTGTCAAAAGTGGTTTGCAAAGATTTGTGCTGGAGATTTCTTGCTGGACGATGCTCCATGGTTAGGTAGACCAATTTAAGCAATCAAATGAAGACATCAATTGAGAACGATCAACATTCTACCACGTGGGAGATAGCTGACATGCTCAAAATACCCAAATCAATAGTTATTGGTGAAAATGAAAAATGTGTCTTTTATTTTACAGAAAAAACTAAACTGACATTTTGGCCAACTCAATACTAAACTTAGAAATATGTCCACCTACCAAGAAAAACTACACAGATAAGGATCTAAAATGCGACTCAAGGGTTCTCCACCTTCTGCAACCTGACTTTCAAGACGGTCTGGCCTACCTTCTCCAGCTTTATTTCTTAGCCCCCCACTTCTTGTGCTCTTCACTTTGGCCAAACATGATCATTTTGGCTCCACAGGTTCCACACTTTGCTGTTCCTGAGCATTTTTCCATAAGCACAATGCTTGGAACACAGTAGATAACCAATAAATATTTGTTGATTCAATAAAAAAATTAAATATCCATCCCTTCCATTGAGAATTTTCTTCCAATATTATTCTTCTCCTTCCTTTTGCAGTCTTTATTCTGCAGAGTCTAGTTTAAGTATTACATACATCAAGATTACTCCAGATGGGAGAAAAAAAAATTCTCTTCCCACAGTACTTTTTAAATGTCTCCTGTATACCCACTGCATTTTCCATTACCTTTATTTCTTGTCTCTCCTAACAGGTAATCACTTCCTGGGAAGGCCTGCATTACCTTTCTTTACCTTTGTGGTTCCCGTAAAGCCTTGCACAAACAACATGCAACAGTTATATTACACATATGGGGCAAATAAATATTGGTCTTTCAGAAAAAAAAGGTCAGTATTTGCCCTATCTTGCCTCCACTTATGTTTAACTACCATATGAACCCCCTCTTTTGGTAGCTGTGGGCATTCAGGAGGATAGAACCACCTGTTAGAGGTGAGAAAATGCTGGCCCTAACAGCAAGAACTCTTCTCCTCTGGGCTAGAAAGGCAGAAGTAAAGGACAAGACAGGGAGCAGGTGGGATGAAGTGGGGAGGGGGAGAGAGGGGGAGGGGGAGAGGGAGGGGAAGAGAGAGAGAGAGAGAGAGAGAGAGAGAGAAAAGAAGGTGCCAGACTAGACTAGACTAGAACATGGTATATTGATGTTCTCTGAGCCACTGATCCTCTCAGAAACAGCAAGTAGGGAAGTGAACATTTATTAAAGTAGTCAGAAATGGAAAGGCACAGGTAATTCCCAGGCTCTCCTGGGTGGCAAGTCATGGTTAACATCCTTACTTGACAGATGGAAGACAGATTCAAAGAGCTGCTTGAGGGTATCAGCTGTACTGACTTAAGGTTTCAAATGGCTAAATGTGCCTTCTAGTGGAACAGGATTCAGACCCTATTGAAACCTGGAAGCAGTGAGTTCCATAGTTCAGTTTGCATAACCTCACAGAGAAAGCATTTTCTTCTCTTTCTCCTCTGAGAACTTGGCTTCTTTCCAACCTATGATCTTTAGGGCAAAGACTCCAGTTGACTAAATAGTAATTGGAGAGACTCAGCATAGAAGCATGCCAGAGCGCAGAATGAAGCAGAAATCTTTCTTCTAAAGGAGATACCCAAGCAGAGCTCTCTGAGAAAAGAGAATGACGTCAGCAGGCTTGGAGAGGACATGTTACCATGCCAACCCATTAGTCATAGGCCTAAGGAGAAGGGAAAGCAATGCACGGGACAAGGCCAATTCATTGACTATCCAAGTAAAGGACTACTGAGATGATCAGTCCTGGCTGGTGTGGCTCAGTGTATTGAGTGCCAGTCTGTGAACCTAAAGGTCGCTAGTTTGATTCCCAGTCAGGGTCCATGCCTGATTTCCAGTAAGGGGCGTGCCAGAGGCAAACACACACTGATGTTTCTCTCCCTCTCTTCCCCTCTCTCTAAAAGTAAATTAAAAATATATTTTAAAAAAAACAACAACAAACTACTGAGATGATCAAATCCAGCAGGAACATCAGGCTGCCTGCTTGCTGCCTTCCCGTTAGCATGGTAAGTGGGGAAACACCCTGGGAAGCTAGGGCTCTCTCCTAGCTTTACCACTAATTATCTGTGTAATTAACCCCTGATAGTTAATTTATAACTTAAATATTATTATCTGTAAAAAGAAAAAGTCAGTAAAAATGATCTATAAATCCTGCTCTAGCCCTATGGGGAAATGTGTGCAATCATGAAAGTCACAGGACCAACAAAATCTAAATACAGGAAGCTGGAGTAAGGACAAATAAGCATATGGACCCATGCTCCAGCATTGTATTTCTGATAGCTTTCTCTGCCTCAGATACAACTTGGTTTAACTCTGGATTTTTTTTTTTTTTTTTTTTTAAAGAGCAAAAGGAAATGTAAACTACCATGCCATCACAAACCAATTTTTACTTTTTCCCTGAAACCTCCCCCAGGTTTTCAAGGCCATTTTAAGGGGAATAAAAGAGGAGTTTTGACTTTGAGGGGGAATATCATCTATTCTAACTTAAAAGTCAAGTTATCATAGCGTCTTCAAATAATTCATCATCTGCCCCAAACCCTCATTTTCAGATGTAGAAAACGGTTACTAGCAACTGAAACGTGAGTGATGGGCAGTGAACCACCCTTCTGTGGTCTCTCAGTTGCAGGCTCTAAAAATATTCCTTGGCAGGGTTTTAAGTTCATTCAGTCAGTGTGCAGTTGATGCAAGTGTTTAGCCTCAATGGCAACCACATGCAGTTATTTTTGATAGGTCCTGAGACAATTTAGCTATGATTCTGGCAGTCACTTAGTTATCTCTGTGTCATATCAGGACAACAATTAATGCAAAGGGCACACTGAGTAATTGAGGGGGCCGTGGCTTCTTAACCTCCGGATGCGGTTTAAAAAGCAGAACGTATTAGATCCAAGGTCAAAGTCCACTAGAAACACAGCAGCATACAGTCTAGTTTCAAAGCCTAGTGACTGTTTTAAAAATTGTCCCAAGACACAGAAGAGGAGGTGATATGATAACAGAGCAGAAAGTGATTTGAACAGGCTGGCCCTGGAGTGATGCGGCCATAAGTAAAGGGGCTGCAAGAGGGTGCTCCCGAAGCCCCGCTATCTGTAGGGCTTCAAGGACAGTAGGGACATTCTGTTTGTTCAAGCTGCATAAAGTATTTGCCTGACCACCAGGAAGTCCTCTTCCACCACTCAGCAGAATCGATTGTTCTCTTTTCTACTGTTGCTTTTTCAAAACCCAGTTCTTTTGAAAAGCCTGTAAATGAATATCTTGTGAGTTAATACTGGCCAATATATTCGAATAAATGACAATACATTTTTTCTTATTTTAAAAAAAAGATCCTGAAAGGAAGGGTTTAAATCAATCTTTTTTAACATCAATTTTTCAATATTTTGTAATATGTCAAAATAACTGAGAATATTGATAGACCATTTAGTATGGTTAGATAAGAAATTCTACATACATTGTTTTGGTTTCTTCCAATTGTGATAATTTCTCTAAGAGGACGGAAGAGGAAGGTGCCTCACCTTGATAATCTTTTCTACACCAGAAGAGCAGATCATGTAGGTGTGGGGGTTAAATCGAACCTGGTTAACAATAGACCGATGTCCTTTCAGTACCATGAAGGCTCCGTTGACCACCCTACCAATGCCACCTGGGAAGACAGAAGAAAACAAAAATCAAATAATTAATGAAAAGTATATAGGTTCCAGTAATGGCAGGCAAACAGCTCTGAACTGCAGCCAAAATTTTTTATTAACTATATCACCGGCAGAAAGCTTAATCTTACAGATAAAGTTGCTATGGAAAGAGGGAAGGTGAAATATCTCTCAGCATATGTGCTCTTACCATGTGCCTTTATTTAGCCTTTAACCATTGCCCACGCCCACCCACTGTAATTCCATTGTCAATGAAGCTACAGCCACTTAAAACATTTCCCAAGTTTTTGATACTAAGATAGAATCCAAGTGTTACCTTAGAAAATGCCAGTCATGAGCAAAAATGAGACTGAGCTGCTTGGGAACAGTTAGGCAGCTGAGCCAGGGACAAGCAGAACCAAAACATATAATTACTTAAATGCACAAAAACATCTCTAGTCCATTTGCCCTCAATTTCTACGAGGCAGATAGCAAACAAAACGGCAAATGTATAAAACCACTGATAAAATAATGAAGAATCTTTTTCTTTTTTTCAAACCGTGGTAGCAGGGAAGAACTAAGGATAAAGGGAGGAGATCTGGATCACTTTCATAATAAGCAGGGCCCAAGTATTGAGGATCTGAATTAGAGAGTGTAGGCTTTAAAGACATCATGTATGGATTAAAATCAAGAGGCCACTGATGGAAAGCTGTATTTTAAAGACCAATCTTGTAGGCTTTCTTGTTCAATGACTGAGAAAAGTATCAGAGTCCTGGAACTTGCAAAACAGGTGATTATGTCATCCTTAAAGAACCTGGGATAATCTCAAAGGTTCGGCGTCACTGCTAAGGGCGTCACAGTCACACAGACACATGCACTCAAGTTCTGATCAAGGTTGCTTCTGAGCAACCATCAACAACAGTACACACAGGCCGACCCGTGACCCTGGCACACTGGCAAATACGATGCATTCAGACTCAGAGAAATGAGTGCTCACTTATTTAAGCAATAAATACCTTCTTAGTCCCAACCGGGAGCATGGCACCACTAGGGCAAAGTGTAGTGAGTGTAGGCTCCACATGCCACACCGTCGCACTCCCAGCTCCACCTTGTTCAAATATTCATTCCAAACATTTGTCATCTCAATGTTTGGAAGGAATATGACCAGAACAAATATCCCTTCTCCAGAAATAATCTGGCTCTGGGGAAGGTGTCTTCTGCTTTTGGCATCCTGACACGACTCCTCTTTTGCCTCACTGAAGATATCCCTCTTTAGTGTCATGTAAATACATCTTAAAAAAAAAAAATAATAGCAAGGTTTCAGACTGTACTGATCTGTTTCTTGGCAGTGCCAAGTTAGCTGGTACTAGGTACTTGCTCTGCCTGGTGGGTGACAAAAATGTCCTTTGCCTAATTTTCCCCTTCATATTTGCTATTACTAATACTTGAATTTTCCAAGGCATATAATACATTTAAAGCTATTCATATCTCAGCCCAACACCAAGTTTGCTAATCAGCTATAAAGGAAAAGAGAGTGACTAAGACATAAAACTGGTATGTTTTTACGAAGAAAAAGCAGGATCAGAAAAAGGGAAGCACCAAGGTAGGATGACACAATGGAATCCCCTAAGCGGGCCAAGTACCGTGTTCCTAGGCTGGAGTGGGAGGAGCAAAAGGTAATCTGAGTCCAGTCAAAATAAAAGGAATCCATGGACATGTAAAAACAGTTGTTTTAATACAGGGATCTCACCACACCCAAGGAGTTCCTCCGGGTCTACTTCTGTTCTATGTGAGTTTGATTCAACAAATAGTATTCCTGCTCATGGTCTCTTCTGAATTCTACATTTTCTAACATCGTACTCCTATCCAGACCCCTCACTGAGGTGGCCACCAGCAAAGAAACTTTGAGTTAAACTTAGTACCAATCTCTTGTTTAAGTTTACTGCTTCCAAGAAAAGGAATTTAAGTGACTCAAGAGAATTTAAGCGACTTCTTTCAAGTCATACACCTAGTAAATGTTAGAGCCAGGATTTGGACCACAGTCTTTTTTGACTATAATATCTAATATCATTTTCACCACATTGCTAGTATTTAAGAAATGAAAGGTTTTGAATAGGAATGGAGTAGGAAGCTCATAACTGATTTCTAAATGTCTTGGCATAACTGATTTCTGAATCTTTATCATACAGCTTGGTTTTCTTTTAAGTCCTAAACTCAAATGAGGGGAGGGGGAAACGCCATTCAAATGTATCCTAAGCGCAAGTTCTATAATATCACCACAGGACATTTCATTACATTAACAACACTGAACAGACCATGATAGAGCCGAATATCTTGCATATCTAGAATCTGGGACCACAATGCCTAAACTAGGGCAGATGCTCAGTAAGCACTTGAATGGATAGTGTTACAGGACAAGGCAAGTCTAGAATAAGTACTACCAAAGGGAGACAGATAGAGGGTCTCATGTCTTAAAGAATCAGGTACAATAGAACTAAAGTTTATTAACCGAACCAATCTTTCTGTCAAAGGTTACTTGGAATACAATTACAGTAACTTTCAGATCTGAAGAACAATTGAAGGGTATCAATGCTCGAAAATTCCAGACCATGGAAAAACTGTTTCTGTTTCTATTGCTCTTTCATGCACTGTGACCTTATCTGGTTTCTCTTCTTGCTAGCAACTTTAACATAAGGTCTTTTCCCCTTTTCCCCCACCCAAACTGGTAATTAGGAAATCTGAAAAAGAGGAGGGAGCCAATAGAGCCAAGAGACTGATAATGTAAACAGGCACAGGAAGAATTATTGCTTCCATTTGTTGAAGGTAACCAAGGCTATGTACACAAATCACAGCAATGAAAGGGCTTCAGAAAAGTTCTCTCTAGCTCCTTTCCTGGTTTCCAGGTTTCAACTGATTGAATACAGCTGCTACTATGCAGTTTAGATACAATGACTTTTAGAGAATAAATTTTTATCAGTCTTGGAGAATTGAGTGATTTAGATGGAGTTCCTTATTTTGATATGCTGAAGTCAAAATGCCAGTATCAGTGAGAACTGGGGGTCTACTCTCCTCCATTACTTAGCCAGACCCTGCCTATCAACAGAAGGATCAGGTAGGCAGGGGTTATTTCTTCCAAAAACGATATAACCCAGATACTCACTTGAAGGTCATCTCTAAAATTGTAGGTCAGGGGCCTGGTGAGATCAACCTCACCCCACGGTTTACCAAATGAAGTCATGACCTAATCACTAATGATGAGTGCCAGTGAATAAAATAGCACACATAAAATAAAATAAGGTCCAGCATAAAGGACGTTAATCATCCCTGAGCTGTTATGGATTTATACAATTCTGTACAAACCAATGGTCATTTCTCTAGGCCATCTGTTTGGCCGGCTCAGACAAACATGTTAGCACTACTTTGCAGGTTCCTTTAATAAGCTAAGGTCAAAGTTTCCTCATCTCCACCTTTCCTTTGGTTCAGAAGAGATGCTAGGGAGGTGGGGAAGGCTATAAATCACTGTATCTACTCTACTGCAAAACCTCAGAAAAGAAAATGTGAGGGCTGTCTGATAAGATTCCAGCATCAGTGACAGACTCACTACCTTAGGGGGATCCCAAGAAACACAAGGGACTCAGAGGAAACTCCCGGCTTAGAACCCTGACAAAGGCCTTTCTAAAATCCCAAGGCCAAATGTCCGCACCCCCCACCCCTCCCTCCTGCCCCGAGAAGACAAGTGGATAAGGCCCAGGACCAGGGCATGTGCCCTAACTGGGAATGGAACTGGCAACCTTTCAGTTCACAGGCTGGTGCTCAGTCCACTGAGCCTCACCAACCAGAGTCATGCTTTATTATTTTAAGAAAGTTAAAAATGAAAAAAAAAATTTGTGCAGTGTATGGAGAAGGTGCTATGACGGATCAAATATGTCAAGAGTGGTTTGTGAAGTTTCTTGATCCTATTGACATTTTGGCCAAATAATTCTTTGCTGTGGAGCTGTCTTATGCACTGCAGGATGTTTAGCAGCACCCCTGGCCTCTACCCACCAGAAGCCAAAGGCGGGGGAGTTAGCCGACATACTCAAAATAGCCAAAACAGTAAAGTTATTGGTGAACATGAAAAATGTGCCTTTTATTTTACAGGAAAACTAAATAGACTTTTTGGCCAACCCAGTATCTGAGGACGGAATGAAAAGATGTGAGTGTGTTATAGACTTTGGAATATATGCATACAAGAAAAAACCCAGACTCTATTAGTGGCTCATCACCCAACATGTGGATTATCTAAGTGTTTCTCTTTCTTTATCTTCTTGCTTGTCCATTTTGAATCTAACTTCCTTCCTTCCTGCCTTCCTTCCTCTCTCTCCCTCCCACCCTCCCTCCCTCCTTTCGTAGCATTTTTACTATAATGGGAGTAGAGAAATAAAGGGGTTAAAATCCTACCCATGCTTCAGCGTCTTCTGAAATGTTAATTTCATGAAAACTTTACTGATACCCAAAATCTCTTCAAGCCTCATTAACCATCCTTTTTATAGGTCTTGGAACCCACTTTTAAATTTAGAATATCATACACACATACACTTTTCTCATCCCTCTTAGATTGGAAGTTCTTTGAAGGCAAGAAAGTGTTTATCTTTCAATTGCCCACAGAGCTTTGCATAATGTCTTTTTTAAAAAATACTTTATTGTTGTCCTATTGCAGTTGTCCCAATTTCCCCCCCTTTGCCCTCCTCTTCCCAGTCTACTCCCTGTTCCCACGGTCAGTCCTCACACTGTTGTCCGTGTCAATGGGTCATTCATACATGTGTTTTGACTAGTCCCTTCCCTTCCTTTCCATCATTATTCCCCTGCCCCCTCCCACCTGGCTGCTGTCAGACTGTCCTATGTTTCCATGCCTCTGATTCTATTGTGCTCATTAGTTTTTGTTCATTAGGTTCCTCTCAGTAAATAAATACACTGAAGTAGATGCCTTCATCATTTTCTCTGAATCAAGGCTTGGACAAGAAGACAAAAGCTATTA